CTTCTTCCGGGCTGACGGATCAAAGATGAAGAACACCGCTGGCTGGAAACTTTTCGCAGATGGTGCGGAACCGGGCCAATAGAACATGTGTCCATATGCTTTGATTTTCTTGATTTACACGCAAACACTAGACAGACAAAAAAATAAGACGGCGTGTGATAAAAAACAGAAAAGAGAAAAAAGGTTCAAAAATCCTTGTAACTTACATTCTTTTCTTTGTGGTCTCTGTACTTATTACTGGGTTACATGCTTTTCACTGACTGTATGTTTATCAGACATATATATATATATACCATTTTCACTTTAAACTGGACATTTTTCAAACCAAACTGGACATTTTGCAAACCAAAGTGGACATTTTGCAAACCAAACTGGACATTTTGCAAACCAAACTGGACATTTTGCAAACCACATTGGACATTTTGCAAACCAAACTGGACATTTTGCAAACCAAACTGGACATTTTGCAAAACAAATTGGACACGTTGCAATCCAAGTAGCAACTCGCCAATTTGTTGGTAAGAAACGAGCAGTAAGACTGCTGAATGATGTTCAGAATATACATTGTGATGACGCTAATACACCGGCATTGTGTAAGCAGCGGGCTACACTGTAAAACATTTGCTTGATCGTGAGCAGCGACCGAAGTTCTGAACTACGCTCCCCTCTCCCCATTGACATTCGCCTAGTTGGTGTGCAGTGCCCATACGCATCAACCTGTGTAGGTGTGTGACAGTTGGAAAATCGGACTTCCGAATCGTAATTGTGTATCAATCATTTTGTGAGTGGATTGCGATGCGCAATCTCAATGTGCACCGTTATTCTCATTAGAGAGAACCTTGTCCGATTCGGTCAATGGGACCATGTCGGATGAAGCAGGTAGGCGGTGTCCCAGCTTCGCCCGTCTCTCTATTAGCTTTCGCAACTGCCACGTTATTGTATCAGCGTAGGCTGTAATGACCCCCAGCAAAACCAGTCTAGATCTATAGCCTATTGTTGCAACATATCAACTACTGAGGAGTGGGCCGATTACACGATGTTCAGGCCACATTGTGGTCACGATAATGTAACCGAACTGCGTACGTAGCGGGTGATTGTGTAAGCCCTTCTCTTGACATGAGTGCCGTTCGCCTCGGTCAAAATCGGTGACCTATTTTCCCCTACACCCCCCCCCATAGGAATTCGTGTGTTTTGTCTGGGTGTGTGGACCGACCTATGCAGCGGTACCACTATTGGAGCCGAGCATACGATAATGGTTCCACTCAACCCAACTTAGCTTTATTAGCTCCGTGCCGCACGAAACGACCAAAATGAGTGACGAACAACAGGAGAGCTGGTGTCCGACGCGACGGCACTGCAGGCGAACATCATTTGCGCAAAGAGAAATTCTCACAAAACTTGTGCTGGTCGACGGCAAAACTACTCGGGAAGCCGCTGAAGTCGCCGGTGTTAACGCGAGTACGGCAAGGAACATCATTAATGCCTACAAGCGAGAAGGCTCAAATACACAGCGCACCTGCGGTGGAAACAATAGGGAGAAGCTGACTCCCAATGTATTGCAGCGTGTCGAAGAAGCGGTTGAACGGCACTCTGAGGACACGTTGGTGCAGCTGCAGATGCGCCTGAGAGAGAATGGGATAAACCTATCAGTATCCTCTGTCTTCAACGCCCTCAGAAGACTAAAGATAAATCTCAAAAAGTGTCATTACGAGCTCGACCGAGTCAACGGTGCCACGACAATCGCTAGCCGACAGGCGTACGCTCTCGAGTTCTCGGCACATGCACCTTCTAACAAGGAGAAATGCATCTTCATAGATGAGAGTGGTTTCAACCTTCATCTGAGGCGAACTCAGGCTCGCTCAAGAAGAGGGACGCGCGCGAACGTCGTGTTACCCACAGTCAGAGGTCGCATGGTAACCCTGATTGTTGCAATGAATAACCAAGGCGTCATCCATTCAAAGATCATTAACGATGGCACCTGCAATGGTGCGAAGTTCTCAGCGTTCGTCGAGGAACTGGTGGCGCGTATAAGCTGCATAGTGGAGATGAACGGCGCGTGGCTGATCATGGACAATGCCAGGATCCATATGCCTGATGAGCTAAGGAGGATCCTTGGTTCGTCTTATCACCTGCAGTTCTTGCCGCCCTACTCGTACATGCTAAACCCGGTAGAACACGTCTTTTCAAAGGTGAAAGCGTCGGCGAGACGCCTGCTTATTAACCCCACACCTGAGCAGACGCTGAGCACGGTCATTCAGGACAGCGTTGGGATGGTAACGCAGCAGGACTGCATGAACTGCGTTCTCAATACAATGATGAACCTGACGAAAGCGACAGCCGGACAACCCTTCGTCAACTGATCTTTGCTATGGTTACTGCCTTATTTTTTGTTAATACACCATTTCAATTTCAAAATGTGCGTTTTCAATATTAACAGTTGGCTTAGCGTGTAAGAGCAGGACGGTCACCGAGAATTCGAGAGCGTACGCCTGTCGGCTAGCGATTGTCGTGGCACCGTTGACTCGGTCGAGCTCGTAATGACACTTTTTGAGAGTTATCTTTAGTCTTCTGAGGGCGTTGAAGACAGAGGATACTGATAGGTTTATCCCATTCTCTCTCAGGCGCATCTGCAGCTGCACCAACGTGTCCTCAGAGTGCCGTTCAACCGCTTCTTCGACACGCTGCAATACATTGGGAGTCAGCTTCTCCCTATTGTTTCCACCGCAGGTGCGCTGTGTATTTGAGCCTTCTCGCTTGTAGGCATTAATGATGTTCCTTGCCGTACTCGCGTTAACACCGGCGACTTCAGCGGCTTCCCGAGTAGTTTTGCCGTCGACCAGCACAAGTTTTGTGAGAATTTCTCTTTGCGCAAATGATGTTCGCCTGCAGTGCCGTCGCGTCGGACACCAGCTCTCCTGTTGTTCGTCACTCATTTTGGTCGTTTCGTGCGGCACGGAGCTAATAAAGCTAAGTTGGGTTGAGTGGAACCATTATCGTATGCTCGGCTCCAATAGTGGTACCGCTGCATAGGTCGGTCCACACACCCAGACAAAACACACGAATTCCTATGGGGGGGGGGGTGTAGGGGAAAATAGGTCACCGATTTTGACCGAGGCGAACGGCACTCATGTCAAGAGAAGGGCTTACACAATCACCCGCTACGTACGCAGTTCGGTTACATTATCGTGACCACAATGTGGCCTGAACATCGTGTAATCGGCCCACTCCTCAGTAGTTGATATGTTGCAACAATAGGCTATAGATCTAGACTGGATTTGCTGGGGGTCATTACAGCCTACGCTGATACAATAACGTGGCAGTTGCGAAAGCTAATAGAGAGACGGGCGAAGCTGGGACACCGCCTACCTGCTTCATCCGACATGGTCCCATTGACCGAATCGGACAAGGTTCCTCTAATGAGAATAACGGTGCACATTGAGATTGCGCATCGCAATCCACTCACAAAATGATTGATACACAATTACGATTCGGAAGTCCGATTTTCCAATTGTCACACACCTACACAGGTTGATGCGTATGGGCACTGCACACCAACTAGGCGAATGTCAATGGGGAGAGGGGAGCGTAGTTCAGAACTTCGGTCGCTGCTCACGATCAAGCAAATGTTTTACAGTGTAGCCCGCTGCTTACACAATGCCGGTGTATTAGCGTCATCACAATGTATATGCTGAACATCATTCAGCAGTCTTACTGCTCGTTTCTTACCAACAAATTGGCGAGTTGCTACTTAGATTGCAACGTGTCCAATTTGTTTTGCAAAATGTCCACTTTGGTTTGCAAAATGTCCAATGTGGTTTGCAAAATGTCCAATGTGGTTTGCAAAATGTCCAATGTGGTTTGCAAAATGTCCAGTTTGGTTTGCAAAATGTCCACTTTGGTTTGCAAAATGTCCATCTTGTCG